GGGAATTCTGGGAGCTGAAGTCCACCCATCTTAAAGTGGCCAAGGCTGAGAAACACTGACCAAGGAGAACCTCCCACCGTTACAACTCTCGTTGCACCTTGAAGAAATGACGCTGAGGATAGCAAGCACAGGATTTTGACATCAGGCCATGATGTTGTCCAAGAGAAAATCAGTCTGGGAAAGCTGCATGGTTTCACTTGCGAGGAAACCTCACAGCAGCTGCTTTTGCAGGCAAGAGAATGCCAACATTTCAGAGCCTCCTGGCCGGTGATTCACGTTGCTTCTCCTGCTGTGTCAGTGTCCCCCAAACATCCAGCTGCAACTTCTGTGGGGCATTTGTCCCCCTGAAAGATAATATTGTGTTCCTTCCCCAACATGGTGTTTTCCTGGCTTCATATGATGACTGGGGAAGGCCAATGCCCTCTAGGACTAGGGTGAAAACTGGAGGGCCAGCCAAGGTCTCCAGATCCATGTCTCCACACTCATATCCTGCCTTCTTCACCCCTAAATTGCAAGCTGGAGGATTCCAGCGCAGCTTTTCATGATACTGTTGGTCACCCAGATTAAGACCACCAACCTAGACCTTCCAATGAGGGATTAAATCTATTGGCTTCTCCTGCAGGAAGTTCTGTGAACTGAGGGAGAAGACCCACTCCCTCTGGCCCTGGATAAACCGTGTGGAGAAGTACCTGAATCCCCTCTACACATACAACCCCTTGGTCATCTGGCCCTCTGTGGAACCACAGAGCGTGGTGCTCTGGCAAGGTAGGGGACCACCTGCCATTCCTTTTACCACGTAAAATGCAAACTCACCCTGTCTAGGGCTCCGTTGTCTTTGGATCAAAGCCCTCACGTGCGAATACTCGTACTTTGGATGGAATTCAGCCTTCAAGGTTTTCGTTTCATAGGCCAACCTTGGCAGTATGGGTTGTTCGTGTTCGTGCAATAATTCCACAGATTTTGATATAGAGACAGACAGCAGTTAGGAAGGGAGGAACATATCAGAACATGGTGCATTGCAGGATTTTGTAAGATGCAAGCAGCCTTACTAAAACCTAAGTTTCAAAAGCTTCAGCTGTCTGAGCATCAGCAAATTTCCAAATCACGTCTGACGAGTGGAAACTAAAACCTCACCCTCCTACCCGCTTCGCTGCTCATTTCCTTTATGTGCGTTCAAGAGATACGTGTCCACTTATGAGAACCATGCCTAGCAATTTCTCTCAGTCCTGGTGCTTCAGAGCGGACTCCCTTTCAAAGCTTTCTGTATCTAGATGACAGTGAGAGTGAGAATTTCAACCCTCTGCTAAATATACTTGTAAACTTGCAGATTTGAAGGATATAGGAATACTCTGGATACCTAAAATGCAAAAACAGGCACTGCGGCTCTGAGGTTTTCTGTGGGGTTATTATTAAAGACTTGGCTGTTCCCCCAGGTGTTTGGGCCTGGAGGTCAAGTGGGCTCTACCAGCTGACTTTCTTATATAAGTTGAAACTTGCTGCTTGCAACCCCAGACATTATTATTTGGATTGTTCAATTGTCGGTTTTAATCTTGTACATTGCTCACTGCTGTGAGATGGGCAGACCTATAAATCATTTAAATAAATGAATTTAAATTATCGCTGCAAAGATATGAGAGATGACTGCTTGTCCTTGTGAAAGGAAAAAGATGGATAACTGACCATCATTCTCCATGCAGGTTTATTTCTCCGCTGGGTCCATTCGTCCCACTATCTTGACGAAGCATGGGCGGAAATTCAGCAAATAGCAAGGAACAGCCAAACCTACCCACCACAGTTGCATGGGGCAACGTGAAAGTAACTTGCAACACCCCCTTTTTGGATGCAGGAACCAAAGGACTGGCTGCTAAAGGTCACCCCAAAACAGAAGAGCCGAAGACAGAGGGAGGGTGGCCAACACAGAGCCACCGAGGAGAGAGATTCCAGCACTGAGTGCTTTATCTGTGGCACTGCGAACACTGTGAACGTGTAGATGTATTTCCCATAGGGTGACAGGTCTAGTTTTTTTAACCGCTGCAAATAAAATACAGCTCTTTATATCCACGTTTTAGATCAAGGAAATCAAGAACATAAGATAAATCTTCCTGGAATTTGATCGAGAGGGATGGGTTCGCACAACAAGGCAGACTAGGTTTAAAATAGGGTGGACAGTATGCAGTTCAAGGTTTTGTGGAAATGTTCCTTGTATATATTTTATACTTGGTCATTAAAGTATTTTGTATCTTTGTGTGAACAGAACTATGTTTTGATCATTCAGGTTTAGGGATTAGTGAATCCAGCCAAGAACCACCTGGACCTATATTGTTTGCTCTTCCTAACCCAGCCAGAAATCCACAGAGTCCCTTCTGACCATGCTGCTGCATTTAGGATGGGGAAAATGAAGCTGAAACATAAACTATAACATAGGATTAACATATTTTTTTCTTTAAAAATCACCTTCTTTCCACAGAAATGCATCATTGTCCCACCCATTTTGGACTCTCGCCCTACCTGCTGCCATCCCAACCTCTCAAAGCAGAAGCTAGCCTCTCCTCATGTTGTCCCACCCCTGCCACAGAGCCATGCCCCCAGCCAGGACATGAGAGCTCCTCATGAACCTGGCCATGAGAAACTCATCTGGGTGCTCATCTGTAGCCACCCCACCTGGCAGCCAATGGCTACATTTGGACAATAAAGTTGGGTCCGATGGAGACCATACATCTGCATTCACCCAACGGCTAAGCTTTTTTAATGCTAATATTCATCAAGTTGATGGATTCACCTGTTCTGCAACTCAGCCCATTTGGTGGGTTGATGATTCAATGTACTGGGCAAACCCACATTAATGAAGTAACTAGGTTGGGTGTGTGAATGCAACCACTGACAAGCGTACCTTCTTGTCTCTTGTGAGTAACAGTCACTATATCTTGGAGATGCAAGCCCAGAATTTTAACCACACAACACACTAAACTGTAAACCATGATAAATAAGCCAGTAAAAAATCCATATTATGGCTAAGAAGGTATGCGATGCAGACCATCAAATTGAGTTCAACAGAGTTTGAGTTTGGCCTATTTTATGAACATAGCCAATGTGACATCATAAAATTGATTTACGCTTTGGTGGGATGTCCATCTTCAACCAATGAGCCCAGATTCCACGGTGGGGTTAGGAAAACCTTCTCCCTACGTCTTTCTTCTACACAACTGGTTAGCCGCCCTCTCCCTGCAATTTTGCTAAGTTAAAAATCTCAGCACTGTGACTCTTCTTCATAAAGGACTTCTTTGGATAAGTGTTTCTTTGGGACTGTACCATCAATTCCTCTCCTCATGATCTCCAAATAAAATTTGCCTTTTGTTCTTTCCAGCCCAACGGAAAAGTGGAAAGAAATTTTGTAAAGGAGCTTGTGTGTGTGTCCATCAGCATGGTAACTCTCCCAAAATAGAAAGAACTGGACCAAATTTGGTGCAGGGAAGGAAGGTGACAAAAGACCAATTGAAAATAAGCCACAACTGACCAAGGAGCTGACCAAACCCCTCCTGAAAAATTCCCCCAATGCTTTCTGATGGAGGGGAGCCAGCTCCTCCACTCTAAGCCCCCTCCCTTCCAGTCACATGACTCAGCGTGGAGCTGATGCAGCCACCAGGTACTTCCCAGCACCCAACACAAAGGGAGAGAGAACCACACACGCACGCAAACACAAGATGTTACTTCATTTCACAGAAGAAAATACGGACGCCTCTATGGGCTCTGTGGCAAGGGAGTTGGAGAGAATTCCAGAAACCAGGCTGTGCAGGGTTTCCCTAGCTGGTTTCACAATAGCTGCACATTTGGGTTGCCGATTCCATCAAACATCCCTATCCCAAGATCCATTTCCTGATCAGATGCTGCCAGTTCAGGCCGCTTCAGAAGGCGAATTCTGCTCCGACTCTCTGCTTGCTTAGAGTCAATTGCGTTGCTCATTTGAGGCCTGTTCACCTGAGATCCTTTTAGAGCAATTTGCTTTTAACACCCTGAACAATTTTACCTGATCAACAAACCAAACCATCTCACTGTCCTTCTTCAACTCCAGATTACTGAGAAAACATGGGTCACATCCAGCTCCAAGGGAGACCACCCATTAGCATCTCTCTACCCCAATATATGGGAAGTGCCTTTTTCTTCCTTTTTGGGGGGCTTGGAGTAAATTCTGCAAATGAAACAAGAGCAGGATTGGGCTTTCCCCCATGCATATATTTTTATCTAAACTTTGGCTAAATTGAGGATTTTACACAGACTGATGGAGCAAGACTAATGTTGTCTCTTCCAGCCACTTTGCCAAAATTCCAGGATCTGAACTTGGGATTCATGAAAGCTAAGCACAGGTTCTTCTACACCTGACAATAATTTAATCCAACAATCTTACAGTATATAACCTGGGCTTTACTTAACAAAATCAACAATATGGAACCCTCAATGATAATGCTGAATTCTGAAGCCAACATACACATGATGGAAATTGTATAAAAAAATTAGACATCTACTACCTAGCTACCAAATTCATACGTATTTCTTTTCATGTTTGTAAAGGAAGAATTTTTTATTCCCGGACATCTCACATTTATAAATATGGTAACTGGAGCTGTTCTGAGAGCTTCCAAGGAGCTGGGTTTCCCACAGAGAATCAGCAGCTGCAGCAGGTCACCCTCGGCTTCAGTTGGCATCCTGCCCTTAAGCATCGCTCAGGAACAAGCAGGATCTTGGCCCTGCTGGGATTGCAAAGACCAAAGAGGCATCTGGGGGTTGAGAAGCAGCTGGCTCAAGCTTCAAACTCAAATTCAAAGTACTGGGGGTCGAAGTAATGGATGCGGACGTAGCCATCCTCTCCGCCACTGCTGTAACTGGAAGCAGAAGAAAAGGAGTGAAATTCCCAGGGCTCTGGTCCCGGTTGGTGAAACCAAAGAGGCAGAAGTACTAAGACTCTTACCTCTTTCCATCAGGGTGGAAAGCAACACTGTTAATAGGCCCAAAATGGCCCTTGACTCTTCCAAACTCTTCCTCGACGCCCAGGTGGAAAAATCTAGAACCGTAAGGATGATGCAAAGAGATGGCCACCGTTAGAAACGAACATGGGGCGGCAAAGTAGTTCTTCAGTGTAACTCACTCAGATGGCGTCAGCCTTACACCTTTGCAAACTGGAACTGGGTTTCACAGGAACTCAGCAGAGGAGGCTGAATCAGTGCCATATCCCTCATAACCACAGGACAAAACAGGCTCACCTGGCCTCAAACTTTCCAATTCTGGTGGAGGTGGTGGTCACATCCATGGCTTCCTGCCCACCGCCCAACACCACCTGCCAGAAGAAAAATAAAGGGACAAGATCCAGCTCTACATTCCTTTGGTTAGGAGAGGATGGGTCAACAAATCAGCTTATTGCCATGGCCCAAGATTTGATTGCCTTACTTGGTTACCCGTAAGAAAACTGACCATGTTTTGATATTCCATGCCAACTTTAAGAAAGGAATAAACCCTCTAAATTCTAGACCGTTTGGGTGAATCCAAACTGTATGGAAATAGGACCTCTAGCTAAGGAAACTTCTCTCGTTCACTGAGCTCAGAGCCCTGTCACTTGACCTCTCAACGCTTTCCCATTTCCTGTCCAACCATCAGGAAATGGCAGAGCCCAGAGGGGCGGCCAAGGAGAAACAAACCATCCAGAAGCTCACACACAAACAGACATTTCCATCTCACAGACAAACTATCTTCATGAAGAACCTGCACAAACCACCCAACAGCAACACAATTCTCACCATAAGGGGATGCCACAAAAGGGGATACAAGGGAGAGACCCCCAACGCCTTGCCCACCAACATACGTGATCAAAGATGGGGGAAAGTGCCGCGGAGTTCACCGGCCGCTCGGTTCGGAAAGTCTTTAGGTGGTCAAAGTTCGTGGAGTCGAAGAGCTGCAAGAGAAATATATCTATTGGGGCGGGGGCTTTTTTGGCATTGTGAGACAGGCCTCTGCTGAACCTCCCTAGTTATCATCAGGAAATGCCAATTACAGCACCAATCCCAAGCACCACAGTGCAGCCACTTCCAAGACGTGCTCACTGCTGAGGACAACAGCTGTCCCAACAAAACTGTGCTTGGGTGCTGAGCAGGGCAACTAGGATAAGCCTGGGAAATTAAAAACAGAAACAAAACCAAACTCTTCCTGAGTTCCAGTGAGAGCTGGAAAAGCTACCTGTTGCTGCTGATTTGTGTATCAATTCTTAATTTAGGATTGGCAGGGGGCCCGTCCTCAATCTGCTGGCTCAGCCCAAATGACTCCTCTAGAATTTGACTTGCAAAGGGGTTGTTTTTGCTGGGCGAATTTTATAGCCCTGCAACCTCTCTTTCCCCTTCCACCCCCAGAGTTGCTCAGTTTAGCCATCAGCAAAGGAAGGCTAGATCTTAATGAAGATCTAGCAGGCACCTGCTATGACAAAAGAGGGAAATAATTATCTGATTGGGGTTAGAGCAAAAAGTTTGTTATCTCAAAACTTGCAAGAGTGAACAGGAAGAGCTAGCTTGCCAAAGCAGCCTCTCTTCCAGGGGTTAATTGAAAAATGCAGGTCAATCACAGGACACCACCCATTGCCAGAAAGCAGCAGGAGGAGGAGAGACGCACCTTGGCAGTGTTATCTTTGGAGGCAGTGACAAACATTGTCATGTCTCTGGAAGTCTGGATGTCGTTGATCTGCTTTGTATGCTCTTTGATGTTCATGAGGACCTCCCCTGACTAGGAGAGAAGGAGAAAGTGAGCACAGGAGAGAAAGAAACACATTGCCACGTTACTCCAAGCATGGTAACAATCATAATGTTACAAACTGCAGATTATTTTGAAGAGTCAAAGCAGTTCATAATATTATTTCAGTCCTTCTTACAACAATCCAGTCAGGAAGGACCACCGAAGGGGCGTGGTCTGAGATCACGTGAAATCACCACCTCAATGCTAAACGAAACAGGAGAGTGATCCAACAAGAGACCCTCTGAGAATTCTAGGTTCAGCACCTTGAAGCCCACAATGGACAAAGATCCTCTAAGACAGGGTTCCTCAACCTTGGGCGGGAACTTTAAAAAGGTGGGTGTATAACCACCCACACCACCCCCCACCCCCCCACCCCCTCCGCGCATTCTTTTTGGGGTTTGGTGGCCTGTA